GGGGGGGGGGGGATAGTAAACTAAAAGTTTCAGTTTTTACCGTAGAATTTGTCAGTCATAATCTCCAGCAACCTTTTTCCCCTTTCAAGTTTTAACCTTTTGTCATCCTTGTGCGAAATGTTGATGCATAGGACCCATAACTTGAATTGTACTTTCACTTTGGATTGCACATCAGGAAGTTATCTTTGGAAGAAATCTTAAAAAGTAAAATGCCAAATTTACAATAACCTGAATATCTTTCATAAAAAAAAAAAAAAAATACTAACCTGAATATCGTAGCATGTGGGCTTCATTTAATAGGTATAGGACTCTTTTTGTGTAGCAATATGTAAAATTTAAATCTTGTAGCCTGGAGCTAAATGCCCTCGAATGGATTCTGTATAGTTTCTATTGGTCATTCATTATTGTGCTTCTCATGAAATTTCTGACTCTCTCTCCACCATTTAGTCTCTTGTCTGATTAAATTCAAACTGCGGCCCTTATTTATTTATGGAGATTGCGCTAGGTTTCATGTATTTTTTGATAAGTAATTTTTCTTTTTTTTGATAACACGCTAGGTTTCATGTATATGCTTGCTTAATTTGAGTTAGTTGAGGGGTTAGAACCTAGAGTTTACATGTCCTCTATTTTAATGTCTTGGTAAATTATCTTTACCTAAATAGAATTGGTTAAACTGAAGTACTGAAACGAAGCTGTTGCTAATGGTTCTGACTGTTTTTGTTGTTTGTTTCTTAGTATGCCCTTTTACATCATATGTATTACCTTCTATTTTGGTTCTTAAGTATCATGGGATGCAGCCCATAAACATTTTTAGTGAAGTCCTGGAAAAACAGGGAATGGGGTAGGTCTTTCTTACAAAAACGCATAAGAACATCAAGATCTGTTGGGGATTTAAGCACGAAAAACAATTAAAGTATGATTTTTAGTGAAAAAAGATGCTAATGAAGAAGAAATAAAAAAGAAATATTTAATAGAAGAAGAAATAAGTTTTTTTCTCTCGTACAACTCAATGAGCTATTTATATTTGACGGGAATTGAAAAAATTAAAATACCTAAATAAAGAACAGGGTTCCATCACAGGCCTTGGACAACTACCGAAGTCAGTTGGAGATTCAAGCATAAAAAACAATAAAAGCATGAGCTTTAGGGTGTGTTTGGTATGATGAAAAATGTTTTGTGGAAAATATTTTCCCATTTTTCCATGTTTGGTTGATATAAATGATTTAGAAAACGTTTTCTTAACAACTTATTTTTCTCTAATTAGGGGAAAATGACTTCCCTAAAAATTGAAGGGAAAACATTTTCATTAAAATCAAAAGATATGTTGGTCCTCCTCGTTGGCCTCTCGTGCTGGTCCCCCCTTCCCAAAACACTCTCCAATCTCTCTCTTCACCAAAAACTCTTTCTTCGGTCGAGGATTTTTAAAATCTATCCTCCACTCGCCGCAACTTCAATCTATGGTTTTGGCTCTATTCTTTGCCGGTCAGCTATAGTTTTCCGGCAACAACAAAGGTATCTTCCGTTTTCCGGCGGCGTTTTTTGACAATTTTGAAAAGCTTGTGAAGTGGGTTAATGCTCCTTATTAAGAACCTCCTTTGTACTTTAACTGGTAGTTTCTTGTATATTTATTTACTTGAAGTTGTAGTATTTTCAGAAAAAGTAAAACTCTTTTTATAATTATGTGAAGTTTATTTGGCAATCCCATGCCTCGTATCTTCTGAATACACCATCGATTTGTTATCCCAACATTGATGAATAATGATACTTAAAGATGAAAATATGGTGAAAGTTCTTAATGTTATTAGAACACTCAAGAATTGAAGGATATGAGAGTACACACCTGGAAACGTGGGAGATTTGGGGTGGGTGTGAGGAGCATAGAAACGTGGAGGATTTGGGGGGGAGGGGAGGAGCATGGGAAACTATGTTCCTAAAAATATATTTCATCCACTAACCAAACACTAGAAAATATTTTTCACTTTCCAACCAAACATGAGAAATTAAGTAAGAAAATCACTTATTTTCTCATAAAATATTTTATAGGAAAATCATGGAAAACATTTTCCATCATACCAAACACACCCTTAGTGAAGAAGACGCTACTGAAGAAGAAATAAAATATATAGATGTAATGTTCAAAATAATTATTTTTTCTTAACCAAGAAATCTGCTATTTCTAACTTCGAAATCGATGAATAATGCAGTATTATCAAAGGTTCACTTCACTTGAGCCTTGAAGCTAGGTACAAAAACCGGTGTGCTTCACACCGCTTAGACATAGTTCCAATTTAGGCACCAAGGCGAAAAAAGTGTGTGTGTGTGTCATCACCTATTGGCCTCCTCTTGAAGAGGGAAACACTAAAAAATTAACTACTTCGTCCGTCCCAATTCGTGTGTTACCCTTTCCTTTTTAGTCTCCCCAAAAAGAATGTTACCTTTCTATATTCAGAAATATTTTAACTTTAAACTTTTCATTTTATCCTTAATGAGATAATTATAGCCACACAAATACCTATGGCTAAGTTTCAAAAGTTTCTTTCTTTCTTAAACTTCGTGGCTAGTCAAGCAAATTTTTCAATTTTGTTGACCAAGGGAGTATTTTACTTGATCATAATGTTTTCAATTCCATTTACTGTGTAATTATTACATATGTTTATATTATTAATCTTGTAATACATTCTTATTTCTTATTTCTTTTCATCATTTGCGTTTTTTTCCTTCTAATATCAAAACCTGCGCTTTATTTTTTATTTGCACTTTGTGCTTAAAGCCTTAGATTCTCACATTGGTTGAAGGTATGAGTTGCATTCTCTTTATTTGATATTTGACAATCCTCACCTCATGAGCTAGCATTTGGGGTTGAATTAGGCCAAAGGTTCATTTTTGTAAAACCAGTGGATGCAAATTTCAGAAAAGCCTTCATTGGTATGACTTAACCATCTTCGACCATTCATATTTATCAAATAATATCATTTCTCAAGTCATATTCCGATGTTTGATTAGAAAAGTTGGTGATTTGAACTAAAAGTAGAAATGATACATATACATTAAGGACATAAGTTATATCCCTTGATTATTGTAAATATTCTCCTTGAAGATAAGATATACATGGTCAATGAGGATTCATATAATTGACCCGAACTTGTTTGGAATTGAGGCGTAGTTGTTGTTATACAAGAATACAAGTTTAGGCAACCACGTACTCCAAAAAACAAGCTTAGGCAACCAATCTTAGGAAACTTGCTTCATCAGCAAGAAACTTTTCTTTGTGTCACACTAACTAGGCCAAAGTTTGGCTCTCTTGAAAAAATTCTGTGCTCCATTATGTAAATATGAGAAATACCCTCTTTAGAAATCATAATATTGACCATAATATTCTTCTTAAACGCTTGTCTAGAGTCTTTGATTTGATGTGTCTAGACTGTTGGATGTTTGAGTTTGGTGACTTTGATCCTCCTCTGAGCTTACATGTAATTTTTTTTTCTGCCTATTGTATGTTAGTGGCATGTACTTTTAATTCCTTTGCTTCTTTACAAAGTGTTGACACAATTTTACTAACTAGTGAAGTAATGGTGTGCAACCCATGTGCACAAGAAAAACTGTACATTTTTATTTGTGAAAGAATATGAGCATTAATTTCAAGATCTTCAGACAATTGGTGGAGTACGTCAAGAATCCATGAGGCATGTTTGATGCTCTCTAACACCCTTTGACAGGTGTATCCCGATTTTAAAATTCGCGTGTGAACTGAATATTGGACAATCGAGTCTGAGAGTCCATGCCAAAATTGCCAACAAAAGAATTTGTTAAAGTAATAGATGGAATACCCCCAAGACCCTCATAAACTGTTTGCGTACCTATGTATCTTTATCATCTATAAAGTTAAGAAAAACATAAATCTTTTTGGTGAATTATTAATTACCTTTAGTCTTGACTGAAAATGAGATGCTTTCATATTTCTTTTTTCCTTTTTTTTTCCCTCTTTAAATACATTCTCTTTCTTTGTAGTAGTAACTGCTGCTTTCCTGTTTATTACAGATTCTGGGGACAGGAATGGATACCCAAGAAACATCCCCGTCTGTTCTGCTCTTCTTTAACAACGAAAGATTCATATTTAATGCTGGAGAGGTAACTCTTGAGTGATAGTAATATTTATTGCACAATACATTTTTTATTGGACAGTAGATTGGGGCTTACTTCAACTAGCCTGCTATTTCATTATACGTTTTAAATATGGTTATTGAACTCAAGGATATCCATTAGGTGATACTTTGGTGATGTTATGGTATTGGCAGTGACATGATGAGTTGAAAATCTACTTCATTCTGTTTCTGCTTCACCCTTGCGAGCAATTTCATGCTCATGTTAAGGATTCTCACATTTCCAAACAATCTAATTCCTTGTAGTTTTGTATCTTGATTGTGCAATACAATAAAATCAAAAGCTCTAGGAACAGGCAGCTTGGAGATGCCAACACAATGCTATTTCTAAAGTTTGGGCTTTTGTTAACAAAGTATAATGAGTAGAAGTATTCTGTCAGATTCAATCTTTCCGTAAATTGAAAGAATGCTTAAACCCAAATTTTGCCCTGTTAAGTGTTAACCTTGAGTTAGTTTGCCGAAGTGAAGATCCAGATTCAACTCTAGATTGAACTGAATTGATTGCTTTATGCAAAATTATAATCCGCAGTTGGTGCTGTATCTGCTGGTTCATCGTCAACAGGTGAACATTACAAGTTTTTCTTTGTTTTTTTGGGGGGAGCAGAGCTTTGGAGGAGGGCATGTGACACTGCTGTGATTCTTTTCCGGATGCAGTAGAATTTTGGCAGCTTTTCCTTCTGGTTTTTAGTTGACATAGGTTTCAGTAATGAGGATTGAAGCTCTGCATTTTCTATTCTGCACAAATCAATAACCAACTTGTTCTGCACAGCAGATATTATCCACTTGTTTAACCCCCCCAAAAAACAATCACCCGCTCGCAGGAGTTTTCTAGTTAGTTGTAAGAACATCTGTAAGCTGTTATTCCTCAAACCAGTACTCATGTTGCAGGGATTACAACGCTTCTGCGCTGAGCATAAGATTAAATTATCTCAGGTATATCTGACATGCACGATTTCAGTTTCAAAGTTTACAAAACTAATTGGTCACTGCTTTTGTTGTATAAAAACATACTGTTGTCAATTTACAGGTAGACCACATATGTCTCACTCGTGTCTGCTCAGAGACAGCAGGAGGACTTCCAGGTTTGCATCTTGACCTTCGGGGAATGAACTAATTTTAAACCATATTTTGTTTTGTCCCTTTAGTTTTCTTAGAGAATTAAATTGATTTTCTATGTGGTACTCCCTCTGTTTCAATTTAGATGACACTTTCCTTATTAGTCTGTTTAAAAAAGAATGATACATTTCTATATTTAGAAACAATTTAACTTTAAACTTTTTATTCTACCCACTTTACCCTTAATGAGAAGCTTTTATAGCCACACAAATATTATGGCCCCACTAAGATTTTGCCCCTTAAGCTTTTAGCACTATCTGTTTCAAACGTCTTATTTTTTTCTTAAACTTTGTGTCAAGTCAAACTACATCATCTAAATTGAAACGGAGGGAGTACAATTTATCACAGTTCCCAAGAATCAAATCTCTCAAGAAATCATTTTGCTCATGATCCAAGGCGTCTCAGGTTTGCTATTGACTTTGGCTGGCATAAAAAATGGAAGTCCTGAGAGTACTGAGCATGTGAGTACCAGTCCAGTGCTTACCTCCCCTATTTTCATATGATACTTATCATTAAAATGAAAGCTGACAGTGGTGCTATTACTTGCTAAAAAAACATCTCTATTGGTCTTTTAAGGTTGACATATGGGGTCCTCCAAATCTTGATTTATTGGTTAACGCAATGAAGAATTTTGTCCCTCATGCTACCATGGTCAAAACACATATCATCCCACAAAGTGACAATGTTATGGTTCATGGAAATGGAGCTGCACTAGCTTCCTCTCTACATGCGGAGGAGCTGCAAGCTGAAGGCAAGTTCAAGGCAGTTAGTATATCAGCTATTCTCCTAACACCGACTGATCATTTGGATGGATCTCATTTTAGTTCAAATGATACCTCCATTGTATATATTTGTAACCTACATGACATCAGAGGGGAGTTTGACCCCAGAAAGGCTAAAGCTTGCGGACTCAAAAAGGGGAGAAAGCTTGGACAACTGCAAAATGGGATCAGTGTGAAGTCAGATCTTCTGGATATCGAGGTCAGTTCTACACTCATTAGAACTACATTATAGACTTCGTTTCTCCAGTTCTTGTGCCTCTATGAAGTTATTAAACTGCAGCTGACTTTCATTTTGCCTCATTCAGGTCCATCCAGATGATGTAATAGGCCCACCTATTCCTGGTCCCATTGTACTGATTGTTGACTGTCCAACAGAACCTCATGCACAAGAGTTACTGTCTGCACAAGCTCTTAACGCCTATTATTCAGATTCCCAAAGTAACTCCCCAGAGACCACCAAGGTTGTGAACTGCATCATTCATTTGAGCCCTGCTACTGTTGTCAGCAGTCCAGTTTATGAGAGATGGATGAGGAAATTTGATTCTGCCCAACATATTATGGCAAGAACTACAAGGTCCGTAACTTCTCTTCATGATTATTTTAGATTTTTCCATATCAACACTGGTTCATAGTCATTCTGTCACAGGGAGCATGAAACAACTCCAATTCTAGAATCTAGTGCGAGAATAGCCACAAGACTGCATTATTTGTGTCCGCAGCTTTTTCCTGCTCCTAGTCTTCTTTCTGTTCAGAATGATGGTGTTGCAGCACCAAATTTCAAGGTACAAGTGGAGGTTTGTTTGAAGCTCTAAAACTTGATAGTCACTTGTGAGAACATCTTAAATACCCGAGGAAAGCTGGTGATATGATACTTGTCGTTGCAGGGTTCGATCTCGAAGGTTTGTGGGATATCTGCTGAAAATCTCTTAAAGGTATTGTTGACTCCAAGATTAATTTTTTCTAGGAGAGGTAACAGTATTATAAATCATCAGCACAATGGATGTGCTGGAAACCATATTTACTTTTCAAAAGGAGCAAAAGTATACCCTTGCATGGCCATTCTTGTAATGAACTTTTCTTGTCTAACCTGTTGAACAGTTCACCTTACGTCCTCCTAGACGTCTGGGATTGGACAGATCTAGTGTTCAAAATCAGATGACCTCCTCAGTGTTCATTAAAGAGTTACTTTCAGAGATCCCTGAGATTGCTGATGCTGCAAAGAACATGAGCACATTTTGGCACAAACCTAAAGAAGATGAGGCGGAACTGTTCACCAGGCAGGACAGTGAAGTCATGACTGGAGATCCATCTTTGGCTGGACATGCTGCCCCTAGGTGTATGAAAAATGTCCAGAGAGATGATCTGGAGATTGTTTTTCTGGGCACCGGTTCTTCTATACCTTCAAAATATCGAAATGTCAGTTCCATCTATTTTAATCTGTTCTCTAAAGGGGGCTTACTCCTTGATTGTGGAGAAGGAACCCTGGCACAACTCAAGAGGAGGTAATAGCATTGGACTCTTAGGATTTATGTTGTATTGTTCAGAACCTCTTTTATCATTTTTCTATTTCGTTTTTCACTCCAGGCCTTCTTTCAACCGCATGAATTAATTTATTTAATAACATTGAACAGATATGGCATCAATGGTGCAGACAGTGCAGTTAGAAATCTTAAATGCATTTGGATTTCTCACATCCATGCTGATCACCACGCAGGTTTGGCACGAATACTTGCTTTGAGACGCGATTTGTTGAAGGGAGTACCCCATGAACCCATGCTGGTTATTGGGCCAGAGCAGGTTGGGGAGTTTCTCAAGGATTATAAAAAACTAGAAGACCTAGACATGTTGTTCCTCGACTGTAGGAGCACTACAGTGGCTAAGTGGGATGATATGGAAGCTGACTCTATGAATGATGAAAGTAGAGATCATACTGTGTTGACTTCTCTTTCCGAAGATAGTTCTCTGTTGCGCTGTTCGAAAAGAATGAAGCCAAGCACTCCAGTTGATGACATAAAATTGCTGAAGCGTTTCAAGAAAGTTCTAAGTGAAGCAGGGCTAGTGAGATTCATCAGCTTCCCTGTTGTACACTGTCCTGAGGCATTTGGTATCATCTTAGAATCAGCGGAAAGAATGAATTGCGGAACAGTAGTACCAGGTTGGAAGGTTGTGTACTCTGGTGACACAAGGCCATGCTCAGAAGTTATAGAAGCATCTCTTGGAGCAACAATTCTTATACATGAGGTCAGTGCAAACTTGTGCAGATTTTTTCTATTCATCGGGAGTTATGTTCCAACTTTCCCTTGTGTCAAAATCAAGTTGGCTATTCAGATCAGTTTTAGTATCATTTTGGTACAGTAGTTAAGCAAAGTGCATAAATTCTACCAGTTGATGATTGACATTATCTGCAGGCGACCTTCGAGGATGGCCTGTTGGAGGAGGCTATAACAAGAAATCACAGCACAATTAAGGAAGCTATAGAAGTGGGACGTTCTGCTGGTGCATACCGCATAATATTGACTCACTTCAGCCAAAGATACCCAAAAGTACCTGCACTTGATGAAGTGAGCATACAAAGAACTTGTATTGCTTTTGACCTAATGAGTGTAAACCTAGCAGATTTGCCGGTGCTCCCTAAGCTTCTTCCCTACCTAAAATTGCTTTTCAGAACCAGGGAGTTAATTTGAAGTAACATATTGAGACACAGCTTCGGTGTTACCAACATAAAAATTATCTTTCACATGTTAGTATACTGACTAGATGTTGGTAAAATGGATAAAATCTTAAAGTATCCTTTCCAAACCGCCGTGGATTAGTGATTTATTTAAACTCGGTCAAGTGTGGTTTGTGGATCAGTTCGTATAACCAGCTCTAAAAAATGGATAATTTCAGAAATGGGATCGTCTTTTGTACAACTATAAATACGTGATTTTCAAATGGAAGGTTCTTGGAGAGTTTCGGACCAGGGTTTAACCGTCGCATGGGGGTAAGTGGGCGGGTTGGGTCGGATGCAGAGGCAGACCCATGTGTATGGGTGAGGGGTCACCGGACCCGTAAACTTCGGCCGAAATCATGTATATATATATATATATGTATATACCTTGAAAATGGTTAATTTAAATCAGTTGGCACCCTGAACATTAAAAACATTTAGGGGGCACTGGTTGAGCAGAATAATGTGTCCCCTTCCCGTAAAACTTCTGGGTCCGCCTCTGGTCGGATATAGGTCGGGTCGAAAACGAGTAATGTAAAATGGATAAATTATCCGACATGACTCATATTTTATACAGATAAAAAAATGGGTTAACCGGCGGATAATCCATTTTCGAATATGATCACTTTTGTGAGAATGTTTTGGCTCCCAAACTTGAGGAACCTCCAATTTGAGGCATTACAAAGGTAAAAGTTAAACCCATTAGTTATTCATTGGTTATCCATATTCTAAATGGATAATATGGTTCTTATCCATATTCAACCTGTTTTATAAAGTTCATTGTCCAACCCATTTTTATTGGATAATTGTTTTCTTTTATCCATTTTGCCACAAATAAGCAAACCAACATCGCGAGGACCATCTCACCCATAACGCCGTAAGGCCTAAACGGAATTACAACATATGTGCGAATAATCATGTAACCTTCACAAACTGTCATAGCATAAGAGAGAAAAATATAACATAGACCGATGCGCGAATAACATCCATTCCGCCCGATGATATACCTGCGGTAACAGTTGTGCAAGAGCAAGCAAATCCGATCTGATACACAATATACATTCTCATTAGGCTCACAAATCCCCAAACCAAATTCCGATCATTCCCAAACAGGTAGATAACCTTCCAAAAGTCCATATCAACCTTTCCATAACACATACCATCAATTATCCGATCCTCAACATGTCTTCACAATTCGCATTCTAGGAATAGTCTACCTACGAAAACATACAGTCTTTGAACCTCATGAATACCAGAATCTCCATATCCGATCTCAACTACGCTACTCAAATGGCTAATGCGTCACTCAGACTCCATCATCTTACGAAATATAACCACAAAGATCCTTTGCGCCATGGAGCAAAAACTTGAACCTCAGCAGCCCAAATCTAGGTGACCACCACAATGTTAGTCAAGCACCCACAAATCAAAACACAATGCGCTTGCTAAAATGCGCTCTCTCCTCTGGCGATATCAAATAGTGACAACATTCTCTTAAATATCAGAAATCGTCTGTGTCATCAAAAACTCATATATTTCCCTTTGAAACTAAACTACAACCTTGAACTCACCACTTTCAACCCCACACGGCGCACCGCCACTAATACGCTAACCTATGAAAATACAAAAATCCCATAATCAATTCTGAATCACAAGCAAGTCGAACACCTCATCAGCCGAGAACCTTCTATTTAACTTAACCCAGGAGAACATCACCACACGCAATATATCTTTTATATCTATAGAAAACATCAACTCCGGTCCATGGCCATAACCATGATGAATTCTTCGGAACTCATTAACACATAATCAAGTCATCAGAACCGATCTTTTCTAACTCAACCGAATCACGCAGGCTACCAATCTGATATGCTCGCTCTAAAGGAACCTTCTGCTAATCCGAAGCCGTTTCTTGCATCTCTCTAATGTTGTCATGTAGAATCATTCTTGATATAGAAGTACCGCAAATCCAAACACCATCCATTGTCGATCTCGAGCTCGAACCACACACAAATCCAAAAAACCTCAAATGCCACGTACGAACCTTGAACTCATTAGAACCTTTTCGATAGCCACCCACTTTTCTCGAAAACCCCACTACACAGCCAATGGACACCGGATAAACCGCACTGTGCCCACACCTGAATAACCAAAAGAAGCAACCAAGCGATTTCGTTTCCTTACACTCTGCATCTACAACGAACATCAAAACTGAATCCTCCTCAAGACCTCTATGTACCCCATAAGGCATGTTACATCATGCATCCACTGACCCCTTGCCCAAAATCGTACTCGATGAAACCTTTCTTAAATAGAACAATAAATATATGCAGAAAAGAACAATACTAGAACATAACAGAAATAAGTACAAGAAACAAATATGCGAAGTAGTAAATGATTGCTAGAATAAATCACGGTCTATATTCCTCAATATCACGACCAATCCTTTCATTAAAGCGATAACCAACAAACAACCAGGGTATTAAATTCATAAATTTTATAATATCAATAACAAGAAAGGTAGGAGTAATATCAAGGAGAATGATTAAGCGAATATTCCAAATGAACATCAATCACAGCTTGCAAGCCAATAAAAATTTAACAAACCTCAAGAACCTTATTGTTCAAGTATCTCAACAAGTCTCAAAAATGATCTTCAACTCAAGTATAGAATCCAATATCTCAAGGAATAAGGGTCGTAGCGGTGTATTTGTGATTAAGTATAATGACGATCGAATTTAGCACATCAATAATTTCACAAAGTCCGTCAAATTTTAATCAAGTTATAATAAGCTAAATCATAATTTCTAACATTTAATTTTATATTCATAGTAATCTAGAAGTCAAGTAAGACATGAAGCAAGAAGGTCACATAATCCTATAAGGCACAAATAATCGTATAATTTACCCCCTAGAATGATTAACCCTGGCATATATATATGTTCTCGTCACCACATATATGTATCACCCCCGCATGTAGCAAACAATATCAATTAGTAAAAAAAAAATTTCAACAAGGTTAGGCAAGACACTTGCCTCATTCCGGGATAATTTTCACAATCTAATACCGTCTTCCATAGAAATATCCTCAAAATGATCAAAACTTAGTCAATTATCATTTAACGAAGTCAAATAATACTAAAAGAAACATCCCCAATTAATAAAGGTTCAATCTTGGCCAAAATCTCAAAAGTCAATAAAAGTTAATCCCGGGTTCGCTTAGTCCAAACTCAAGACTCGAGCCAGACCTGATTACCCATTCACTCCCGAGCTTGGATATGCAATTTATTTCGAAATCCAACCTCAATTTGAGGTCTAAATCTCTATTTTTTAAATTTCCCAAATTCTACCCTAAACCCCTAATTTTCACCATAAATTTCTTAGATTTGATGTTAAACGTCATGAAAACGTAGTTGAAATTGATTGTAAACTTGCTAAAGATGCTTACCAATGAATTTGGGAAGGAAATCCTCTTCAAAAATTGCCTCTATGGAGTTTAGGGTTGGAAAGTGGTGTAAAATGAGCTAAGTCCTGATTTTTTCCTTCTTTACCCAACTGCAGATATCGCAATTGCAAAATATAGTTCGCAATGGCGACGATCACAAAAGCAATCAATTCTTCGCAAAAGCGAAAAAGTCTCTGATCCTGCTATTATCGCAAATGCGATGAAATTATTGCAAATGCGAACAAAGGGTTGTCCGCAAATGCGAAATATAAACCCGCAAATGCGAGTCTGCCCCGTTTTCCTCAGACTTGCAAATGCGACACGAAAACTCGCAAGTGCGAAATCCCCACCATCGTATTTGCGGACTTAACTTCGCAAAAGCGAAGCTGACCAATCCCCAACCAGAATCACAAATGCGATCCTCACCTCGCATTTGCAAACACGTTCTCGCAAATGCGATACCTACAGACCTGATGCACCAGCATTCTTTCTAAGCCAAAAATCAGTCCGCTAAGCATCCAAAACTCACCCGAGCCCCTCGAGCTCCAAACCAAATATGCATACAAGTGTAATAACATCCTACGAACTTGCTCGCTCACCTAAATCACCAAATTAACATCAAACAACAAGAATTTATCATCAAAGCTCAAGATTTTTAAGTTTAAAGTCAAGTTTTCCAATGTTTCACATAATGCGCAGAAATACGCTCGAGTCACCCGGGACCCCAAATCAAACATACGCACAAGTCCAAAAATATCATATGAACCTACCGAAATCGTCAAAATACCGATTCGAGATCGTTTATTAAAAATATTGACCATGGTCAACTTTAGTCTCTTTTAAACTTAAAAATCATATTTTCTTCAAAATTTATGTAAAATCTTTTTGGAACATGACACGGACCACACACGCAAATCAATAAACATCAAATGAAACTATAGAAGGTCTCGAAACACTAAATAATGTGAAATAATAACAAAAGTATAGCAATAAAGGAACTAAACTATTTAAAAGATAAAAATATCTTTATAGATAGTAACAATAACCTTTCATTATTAATCAACGCATAACAATTCTTTCATTATTAACTACCACACATAGATCTAGGATTTTAATTATAAGCTTCAAGATTTCAGTTTCAACCACTAAAATCCATCATTTTATTTGAGTTGTGGATTCATAGCTCAATTGTTTTTTTGCAATTTTAGTGAATTTTATATTTAAAATCTATGTCTTGAATAAAAGTTATGGGTTCAATTGAACTCCTAGCTAAGTTGTTGGATCCGCCCTTATCACCACGTACATATTAATCCCTTAGGGATCGTTTGGTACGCAGATTAAATTATCCCGAAATTATAATCCCTGGACTAATTTATCCCACCTGAGAGATAGAATGAAAAAGTGATAGTTGTTATAAAATAACGACTATAAAGTAAAAACACCGAAGATAAATATAGAGAGAGATTGATATATTATTCAACTTCAAACTGATGTACATAATGAACTGAAAACTCCTTTATTTATAGAAGAAAGGAAGCAACTGCGAGA